CAAGGATTAATACATAAGTACAAAAGACTTTTTGTACCGAAAATACGAGTCCTTACTTTATTGGCATATCTAATCGCATATCTTTATTCCGATCATACAAGGTTCTAGATAAGTTTTTTTTTTTTTTTTTCACGAGGGTTTATGTGACTAAAAAAATACCGAATAATGAAAATGATGATGCATGCTCGGGTGTTTATGTGAATCACAAGTATATTTGTTTAAATAATGTTTATATGAAGGTAAAGGATGAACGAATCTATTTCCACAATTTTGTGCGAAAAGCCGAATACGATTGAATCATGCAGGAGGGAAAAATAAAAATATTTTGTACTAGGTGGTGTGGTGTTGCACTGTTTACGAAAACATTTCGTTATTCATGAAAAAAGAAAAAAAATGGAGACAATAACTTGTATTTTCAAATGAACCAATTTTCAATTACAAAAATCCGATGACAAAAAATTGGTTCTTTGATTATCATAATATTTTGTCAACAAAACGTTAATAAAGTTTGAATACACAAGAATGAGGTATCTATTATCACATTTCACATAATTATTTTTAATAATTATATATTAAAAATATAATTATTAAAAATATAATCATTAAAAATAATTATTAAAAATAATGGTTTAGGACCCTAAATTTGTGTTTATCCAAAAACCATGAGATTATTTTAAATTCAAAAGGACAACAATGTTTTTTTTTTCGGAGTTTCAAGTAATAGATATAGTAAGATGAATATCAATTCCGATTATGATATCATTGAAATTAATAAATATAATAAATATAATAAAAAGCTTACGAGAAAAAATTTTTTTTATCTCAATGATTTTAATTGGTCTTAAAATTTTTTAATATTCACAAACGAACATTATTACAAGAGTTTTTAATACGACTTCAATAGTTTCACAACAGTTTTATCCACACGACCACGAGAAAAAAAAAAATCCCTGCATATGGAAATTCTATTGGTTCACACTGACTCATAATATCATCATTTGGTGGTACAAGAATGTAACCTTATATATATTTATGATATCATGAAAACGTCAACAAAAAAATCTTGTAAAGCAATGACATAATCAAGATCAAGATAAGCGATTAGATATGCCAATAAAGTAAGGACTCGTATTTTCGGTACAAAAAGTCTTTTGTACTTATGTATTAATCCTTGAAAAAAAGGAGTTTGAAGATCTTTTTTGAAAAGAGGTATTTTTTTATGTTAAAATTTCAAATTGTGATATTAGCGGATAATCCCGGTTTAATATAACCTATTCTTGTTAAATAGCAACATGATATGCAAAAAACGGATTTTTTAAAAAAAGAATGCATTTTTTTTTTAACAATGGAAAATAAAGAAGTTGTGCGATGTATAGTATTCCATTGTCGAATATTCCAGAGAAGTAAACATCAGACAATTATTGGTGATTTGCAGAGTCTCGGAAATTTAAGAAAATTCTAGTTATGTTGACAAAGCAAAAAAGGAAATTATAAATAGAAATCATAAACAGTAATAGGAATATAGAAAAGAATCTGGAAAATAACCAATTATAGAATTATAAGTACATTGTTCTCAAGTGGCGATCATGACAGCTTTTACGGGTTGTGCTTTAACGTTAATGCCAACCGCGAGCGACCTACGGCCGGGTAATAATAGTTGTAATAATAGTACAAGGCATTATTTTGCATTTATGAGCATCGATAATACATCAAATATTAACGAATTGCCTCGTGGAAGGTGGGCTGTGCACCTTCCAATACAGATGATAGGGCGTGAGACGAAGTAGCCATTTACCTTTATTCAGCAAATAAGCATTAAATTTTTTTTGTTTGCTTTCTAGAGAAGAGATGAACGAATTTTTTTATGAACCAAACCAAGAATGCGCAAAAATAGTTTAGACTGCCAAAGTTAAACACAAATAAACGAATTTAGGAATTAATACCAATATCTAAACATTACTTTTTTAGGTTAAAACGAAATGAAAAGTCACAAAACTTGATATACAGGGGAATGTGAAAAAACGAAAAAAAAATAGGAAGTGATTTCAGTGATTTCAGTGATTTCATTCGATTAAGTCACACAATACCCTAAAAAGAAAATGAAACAGGGATCTCAGGGAACGGAGGACACACCCCAAAAATTAACGTCACAAAATTATATAGTCACACCAAAAATTATATCCCATGACATATTTCATAATTTGAAGGTGGCTAAAACTGTGGCAAGAAACGTGGCTATATTTGTGGCTAGGATCGATTAATCGGATAACAAACAAACATTAGAAATGACACCCAAAAGTAGGCAACTTAATTTATTTAATTCCTGATTTAAGCCATCTTTTTATGCCACTTTCTTATGCAATAAATGCATAATATTTATAATATTTTGTGGATAATATATTTGTGGCGTGAGGAAATTCATGGACTTACTATTCACTTACTATTCAGGTAATATTTCACTTTCATTTGTAACACAAGGTTAAAAAAGTCATTTAATCATAGTAGACAATGAGAATAGGATGCGCAGTTATTTCGTTAAAAATTCAAAAATTGAGTGTCATGATGATTTAAATTTTGTCAGACGATTTCTTGATGCGTATTTTAATAACGCAATCCCTGAGTGATATGAGAAGATTTTCACTTACTACACCCCATATGGATTCGGAACAAAACCTTATTAACAAGTCTAACTTTATATTTTATAACTTGTTTTTTATTTTCAGAAAAAAGAAATAAATAAATAAGTAAAATGTAATAACGATAATACATTAAATACATTAATACATTAATACATTAATACATTAATACATTAATACATTAATACATTAATACATTAATACATTAATACAGTAATACAGTAATACAGTAATAGGGAACTAACCAAGCACAGACCCATCATTATTGTACCCTGATTACAAATGTCCGAGTACCGCCTACCTTCCATCATCATTATCATCACGGTTTTTTTTTACATGACAGATCAAATATTATTATTTATAATCGGAACTGAGTAAGTACACGGTCAAAATTTAAACAATATTTGATTGTCTCTAAACATATTTCATATTACATATTACATATGACATATATTAAATGTTTTTGGATTTTTGGTATGTAAATCTTGCCTTCATTCAAAAGCGTTTTGCAAATTCCTAATTTCTTTTATCCATTGAGTTGATGTTTCAAATGTTTCCTATTATGTTTACAAATAAAATTGTGCATACGTAGCATTTAAATATTACAATATATAGATTTTGTTGTATGCATATAATCAGTAACTATCGCTACGTATTGATTTAAATTTTATAATCATATCATTCTTTTTTTTTTTATCATTAATTTGTAAATTTATACAGTCACGTATTAGTTTACATTATTAGCATACGGGGTCTTTGACTTTGAAAACCACCTTACGACATTTTCCGAACGGGCTAATTCGGACAATCCAGACCATAACACTTACATTTTATCTTTATTGATTTAATAATAATTGATTCTATTGAATCAGTAAAGATCAAATATAATTTATATAAATATAAACCAGTACATATTATGGTCTGTTTTTGTTCGAATTAGTCTAATTAGAAAATGTTGTAAAATAATTTTCAAGACAAAAACTCTATATATTTAAATCTAAATTTGTATTTTTATTATTATATACATGCATATAATATATAAAATTTTAATTGATTTATTGTACTTATATATACTACTCTATATTTTATACAATATTCTGCATAATATATAATAGTTAATAATTGCACGATTTATGTTAAAGTTTATTAATATTGTATTTAAATTAAATACTAATAATATAAAGTGAAATAGTTAATTAAATTTTTAATAGTATTATATAAAAATTTACAAAATATTATTATTTTTTTTTTTTATAAGGTGAGATTTTGCTCTTATTTTTATTATTATTTTTTTTTTTATAAGGTGAGATTTTGCTCTTATTTTTATTAATATTTTGTATTAAGAATCCACTAGTGGTTTCTTGAACAAAATCAATTTACAAAAATTTTTACAAGAATAAAACTCACTACTAGAAATTATCTAAACAGAAATTCTAATTCATTTGCAACTTAAATCTACTAAAGTAGTTAAAACTCATCTAGATTTGGTAATATAAAATATTATTAGTTAAAATATTATATTTAATTTATATAATAGTTTATAGAGATATTTTTCTAATTGTTTATCTTGATCTTGATTATGTCATTGCTTTACAAGATTTTTTTGTTGACGTTTTCATGATATCATAAATATATATAA